ATATATGTATATGTATTTCTCCAGGGAAACTATGAAGCATAGTACTTTGTTTGAGGTTCAGCGGTTTGTTGAGGTTCATGTTTCTTTTGGTGCTTAGTAGGAAAAACATTAGACTTCCCCTTTTCCTCTCTTATCCCAATGCTTAGCTTCTGTTCTACAGCCACTTACTCAGCCACTTAATCAGCATTGGGGTTACTCTCCTCAAGGTTAGACCGCTGCTCTCTTCCCCTGTAACTTGAGGTAAACGTTTTTTGTTTGGTTTTTTTTTTTCTTATCCTTTTGCTTAACTCTTTTTCTTCACTTCATTTTACAAGCCTCCATTACCTGGACTTTTACACTCTTTCTTTGCAGACTTATAATCTAGAGTTATCTTAATCCTGAATATGGAAGCCTGAATGGGATAGAATTGGGGGTGGGGACACAATTTATATAGGAAAAATGGGTGTTTGTTGGGGCCTCTTACAGAGATTTTTCCCTCAGAGCTCTTTAGCTGTAAAATGTTCATTATTTTTATTGAATACCAGGTAATTTGTAACTTTGGGGATCTTAAAAATTCATCTGCTTCACATATTTACTTAATAAATTTTTGAACCTTTTTTTTGTAGAAGATACCATACATTTTTCTGTATAATTCATCACATTGTTGATAGGGAGATGAATCAGATATGATCCTAAATTTGAATACATCATAACAGTTTACTAGTTGTGTGATCCTGGAGAGAGATTCTGTTTTGTTTTGTTTGGTTTGAAACCTATAAATGCCTGGCAGCTATAAATAGTAGGAAGACAAGAAGGGCATAAACAACCACAGGAGAGTTGCTTTAGGGTAATATACGTAAGATCAGGAAAATTAAGAGGTTGAAAACATAGCATCCAGCTAGGCAATCAGGGAGAGGATCAATATAACAGACTTTTACAAAAGTAGAATCAACATATCAACATGTTTATTTGGCTGTATGATGGAAAATGAACAGGGAGCTGATGATGCAGAGGTGAGGGGTTGGGAGCCTCGCTTGAAGACTTAGAGTCTGCTTGGATATAAGGGACAGGGAGTGTGTGAAGTTAAAGAAGATTACCAAGCTTTAAGCCTGAGTAACTGGGAAGATAATGGTATAATAAAAACAAAGGACCATGTTTGGGAGATAATACTTGACTAAATATTGTACATGTTGAGGCTGCAGTGGCCCCAGGACATATAGATGATGTCAGCCAAGCATTTAAAATAAAAACATGGGTCTAAAGCTTATTCCTGCATGCATGGGTTTGGAAATCAAATACAAATGATGATGAAGCCTTGAAATTGGGTAGCTTGACAAAGGAGAGAGAGGATATAGAAAATAGAAAAGGGCCAAGGAAGATGAAAATATCTATGGACAGAAGGAAGTAAGAGAGATCAGAGAGCTTAGAAGGTAAAACCACGGTTACATGGAACGCAAGCACTAAGATCATAATCTTCATCAAAATCCAGGGATGCAGAGAAGTCACAGGAGGTGAAAATTAGACAAGGATATTGGGTTTGTCAGCTAAGCCATCATTAGTGACCTTTAGGGAACAGATTTCACTGGATTTAGGGGAATGAAGGCCAGATCGTGAGTGGTTAAGGAGAGACTAGACAGTAAGAAGGCAGAGACAGCAATTTTAGACTACTTTTTAAAAATATGTGATAGTCATGGGGATGTAAAGTATAGGGATTATAATCAATAATGTGGTAATAACTCTGTATAGTGCCAGGCGGGTACTGTTGAATAACTATGATGTACACCTGAAACTAATATAATATTGTATGTTAGCTATATTTTAATAAAAATCTTTTGAAAAAAGAAATATGACCTCATAAAATTGCATAAGGAGTTTAATTTACAGTATTCTTTGTAACAATCTATTGTAATGCAGCTATCACAGAAAAAATAAAAATGTATGGTTGTAAAGGGAAAGAAAGAAAATAATATGTATATAAAAATGAATATCTATTAGAAATTCTCTGGTTAAGATTCAACAAATGAAGATTTTGGAAAAATAGAGACTAATATAGGAATCAAATAGAACTTCTTTGCTCTGTTACTATCTCAGCATTGTTAAAATATAATGGCATTGTATATTCATTTTTAAAGTACTTTAGTGTTCATTCCTGTAAGTTTATTATAGCAAATGAAACCCACTTTCCTAAATAAGAAATTTCTTTAAAAAAATTTATTTTGACAATGAGTTGTTTTTTTAATCTTCGTTTTTGTACATATTACTAACCCTAATCACTTTAGGGTTAGTAAAAACAAAGTTGGGTATAGCAGTTTGTCCATTTTAGGCTATAGGTTCATTTCCTTAAACTGAAATTTTGATTTCCAGTCCTCCCTGGGTTTTTATTCCTCAAGATTAAGCCTATTGGTCAAGTATTAAATACTTATAATTACTTATCTTTTACATTTTCTTGTTTTATTCTCGAACTTAAATTTGAATGACTTTGGATACATTTACAGGTGGAAAGTCATAATTCATATATGTTCACTTCAGAATTTAATGATCTTGAGTGGAAGTTTTTTTTCGGATCAGAAGTGACAGGTTGGTTCCAATGATGATGACTGCAAAACTAAGAAAATAAGCAAGCCATAGTATAAAATTTTGCTTTTAGAAAATTTTAGCCCCAAGTGGTAGAGATAAAGAGCTCAGTGTGTCATCTTTTAACATTTCCCCAGATTTTTACTTAACTTCACTGTGCCATTTACTAATATGTAAAGTGAGAATAGTTAACCTATTTTATAGGGTTATTTTGAGGATTAAATGAGTAAAACTATATAAAGCACTACGAACAGTGCCCAGCACATAGTAAATTCTCAATGAATGTTAAATATCATCTTTATTTGTAAATTAAATATGCTTAACCTCCTTTTATTCTTCCTTCTAATAATTGCTTCCCTTAAGGTTAAATGATAGTGAAATTGAACGACAGCATTTTAAGGACCAAGATATGTATTCTGATAAATCTGATAAAGAAAATGATCAAGAACATGATGAGTCTGACAATGAGGTGCTGGGGAAGAGTGAAGAAAGTGACACCGATACATCCGAAAGGCAAGATGACTCATATATCGAACCTGAGCCTGTCGAGCCTTTAAAGGAGACGACCTACACTGAACAGAGCCACGAGGAACTTGGCGAGGTAAAGGCCTGTGATTTTCAGAGATTAGGGTTTTCTGATTCTTGGGAGTTTTTAAATGCAATTGAATATATTATTTGTTTGACCTGTTGCTTATCTTTCCTAAAAGAGAATATTCCTATGATACCTATTGTATTTTAAAAGTTGCATACATACGAAACATATCAGGATTTATAAATAGCTAAAAACATATAGTACTCATACAAATATAACATATTCTGTTAAATTTAAAGTTTATATTTTCTTCAGCTTTGCTTTTAAATTAGTATACTGCTTGATGTCCTTGCCAGGTACAAAGTAAACTGCAAGGAAACATGAGTGTATAACTCTGTTATTGCTTGTGCATAGAAGTAAAGATAATAAAATGGAGTATAATATTTTTGGTAATGGATTCTTTGCATAGATCATTCACTTTGATGTCTCTTGCAACTACCCTTTTTACATAAATCTTATAGCTGTAGACTTTGTTTATTACCTAATGGGTTATTTCCACATTTTAAGGATGCTTGGAATAGTCAAATAGAGAATTCTGGATTTCAACATTAGCTATCTTTTACTTGCATCTGTATGTCTGAAATAAATATAACATTTCAGTATTTGTTGTTAATTGCTAAAGGCAGGTGAGGCTTCTCAAACAGAAACTGTGTCTGAAGAAAACAAAAGCCTTATCTGGACACTGCTGAAACAAGTCCGTCCTGGCATGGACCTGTCCAGGGTGGTTCTGCCCACATTTATCTTGGAACCTCGTTCTTTCCTGGATAAACTTTCAGATTACTACTATCATGCAGATTTCCTGTCTGAGTAAGTAGATTCTCATTTCTTAAAATAGAAGGTGCTTCATGGGTTTAGAGATTTTTTTCCAGAGTGCTATTTAATGGTTATGCCTTACCAAAATCGGGCTCTACTGAGATACCCCTCTCTCTTCTCCACCACTCTTACAGTGGACCTTAATAGGAAGCATGTTTAATACTTTGGCATAATGTTTTCAGTTATGAAGTTGAACTGAGATGACAAGCTGAGGAGGAGGGAATTTTACCCCTCACCCGATAGCATTGCTATCACAGGCTCTCTGACTGTTTTCTGACCTAACATGGGGACAGGTGGCTGGCACTGTTTGTTCTCCCACCTCAGCCCTTGTTCAGGTCCTTTGCAGGGGCTTGTGATTTTGTTTATACTTATCCTCTCTGCATGCTTGTGAGGCCCATGCAGCTCACCAGAACCAGAATGCCCTGCCACTTGCTGGCACTTGGCATAAATCCCCACTTTCATCTTTACCTTTCCTCCTGCCAGCTGATCCTGGGTACAAGTCAGAAACAGGTAGGCATAAAGGAGGTAGAGGAGGAACTGTCCACCTCTGTCCCAGCAATTGATTCGAGAACCAATAAAAGGCAGCAACTATATGCATGCCTTTCCAAGTTTCACCTGCCATCCCCATTTTAGCAGCCATGTGTTTCAAGGCACTGTGTTTCCTAAGACACTATGTTCTGACCCTACGACTTGATTTTTAGATTCTGCATCAATATCTGTATTTAGTGTTTTTAGTTGCATTATTAGTCTATTAATTGCATTAACCAACATGGCAAAAAAAAATAAGTGAATCAAAAGATTATTGATAAACTGGGGGAGATTTTTGCCAATTAAATCATATACAAAATGTTAATCCCCTAAAATAAAAAGAACTCTTAAAAAGTGAATGAAAATGATCAACAACCTAATAGAGAAAAGATACTACTTTTCATCCATCACATTGACCAAAAGTCCAAAAGCTTTTATACCCCAGTTCGGCCTTATGTCTTCTTATAGTTCTTTGTTTTATCTGTCTAGAGATTCATTTCTTTCAGAGTGGATGAATCACAGTAAGATCTTAAGATATGCCCATTTTCCCAAATTGAAAATTTTCACTTTTCTGGGAACACACACTATTTTATTGCCAAGGCTGCATGCAACAGGCACTTATACACTGCTGCTGGGCAATACAAACTATTAATAGCACTGCACTTTTGAAAGGAACCAGAATTATAGTTCCATTCAATCCTTTGATCCAGTAACCCTGCTTCTGGGAATAATCCCTACAGACATAGCTCCACATATACAAAATGACATATATACAAGGTTGTGGCAGTAGGGTTTGTAGTAGTATAAAATTAGATAACTCAAGTATCCATCTGTAGTTGACTGGTTAAATTAAGTATGATGCCCCACACGTAAACTGATATGCAGGGATCTTCAGGATTATATGTATATGTGAACAAAGCAAAGTACAGAAGAATATGTGTAGTCTGCTACCTTTTTTAAAAAACAAAAACTACATATGTATATTCTTTATGCATAAAGAAAAATTGTTTCTTAAAAAAAGGCAACTAAAAAATGTTGCCTATAGAACATAACAGTATGGAGAGATGGAGCAATACCAAGACATGTACTTTTTTATATTGCTTCGAGTTTTTAACTGTGTAGTCTATATATGTGTAAAACTTAAAATATCGTAATAAGAGAATTTAAACCAGGAGAGGGAGAGAAAAATCAGAGGGTGTTATTCCTGTAAAGCACAGCCTTCCAACTTGGCATAATTATCAGTAAGCCTAGGCCTAGCCTCCTCCATCTTACACTTCATCTTCAGAATTCACTACACTGAACCATCAGACATGCTTGAAGAGTGTACTATTGGGTCTTCAGAAAAGTCATGACGCATGTTTGCAACAGATGGTACTAGTTCATTTTTAGAAATACTAGAATCATTCGCATCTATGTAATTGCTATGTCATTTGACAGCTGACAGTTCTAGCTTCATTCTAAAAAAAATTGAGCAATTTGATTGGGTTTTGGAGATTTTACAACAAGTTGAAGATGGAAGACCAAACTGCATTTTTGCCATATTTTACTGTTTTACTTTCATAAAGGGAGAACGCGCGTCAAGCTTGTGAAAAGTTGCATAAAGTTTACGGTGACAATGCTCTCCAAGAACGTCAGAGCAACAATGGTTCCTGAAATTCCGTGCTGGTGATTTTGATCTCAACGACGCTCCTTGGTCAGGGAGGCCTACCGAGGTTGATGACAACAAAATAAAGGCATTCATTAAGTCAAACCCACGTTACACGACACGAGAGATTGCAGAAACATTCTACATCCATCATTCAAGTGTTCACGACCACCTGAAGAAGCTGGGATACGTAAGCAAGCTTGATATTTGGGTTCTGCACGAACTCAAAGAAGTTCATTTGAAGGCGTGTGTAAACATCTGTAATATGCTCATAAAGTGTGAGGAAAACAATCTTTTTTTGAAACAACTGATAACTAGCTGGTGATGAGAAGTGGATTGTTTACAACAGTGTGGTGCACAAACAGTCTTGGTCCCGACGTGATGATTCACCTCAAATGACATAGAAAGCAGACATTCATCAGAGGAAGGTTATGCTGTCAGTATGGTGGGATTTTAAAGGTGTCGTGTTTTTTGAGTTCCTACCAAGGAACCAAATAATCAATTCGAATGTGTACTGTCGGCAGTTGGACAGTTTGAATGAATCCATCATCCAGAAACATCCAGAGCTTGTTAATTGTAAAGGAGTTGTGTTCCATCGTGACAACGCAAGACCACACACAAGTTTGATCACCCATCAAAAATTATTGGAGCTTGGATGGGATGCGTTGCCACACCCACCATACTCGCCTGACCTTGTGCCATCAGACTTCACTTGTTTCGCTCTCTTCAAAACTACTTGCGTAGTATAACGTTCAATTCAGATGAGGCTGTAAATGAGCACCTTGTTCAGTTTTTTGCAAATAATAACAGGTCCTTCTATGAACGAGAAATTATGAAGCTCACTGAAAGATGGCAAAAGGTTATCGAACAAAACGAGCAATATATTGATTGATCTTTGTTCTTTATGTAAATAAATGGCCTTTGAAAAACATAGACAAAATACGTCATGACTTTTCTGAAGAACCAATAGTTAAATTGTAAGATAAATAACCAATAAACAAATTAACTAACTTCTCAGTAGAATTCACTTCTGATGTACACAATCAATGTTTTGCATTGTTTATATCAACAGCAAAAGGGCAAAGAGGCAGTGAGTCGTGTCTTCTAAAAATTTCTTCTTTAAAATGAAAATTATTCTTTGATTACCTGTTATACTGGTATTAATAGTTTGTTCACTCTAGAAAATCATTTGGTAGCACATAGGGGAGGTTACAGGCTAAAAATGGGTTAAAACCTTTTGATTGGTTTAAATTATTTTAAATCTTCCATATTTGTGATTTGAAATGCCTGTGTTTTGCCCAAGGGACAAAAAAAGCATATAGTCCTATACACTTAGGGAGGCAGTTTGTGCAGGAGAAGCTAACGTGATCCTGTTGCCCCCACTCCATGTGCTACAGCACTCACTAGTTACCGTGCATCTCATCTAATTAACAGCTGATAAGAGGCTAAATCAAGTGGACATGGTCCTTCTCTGACATGTGGGCTGGAGACCGCTAACAAAGCTGTTAATGCTGCTGCTTGGCCACTGGCCCATTGCAAATGCTAGGCATCAAACAGGGCATGGATCTCAAAATCTATGTGTATTTTTTTAAATCACAGTTTCTCACAGAACCCCTAGCAACATCTAGGGTTCTCCAGAACCCCAGTTGTGAAATCTTGGTTTGGAGAGTTTCCAAAAACTACTTCAGCAAAGACCTGGGCAGTACATCAAAGAATAGGAAAAGTGGGGAGAAAAGTAACCAGACTTTGAAAATTGATTCTTGCAAACTGATGTGTGTGGCTGTTTTTGCCCTGTATTTTAAATATGAATTATGTTTTCCAATCATATCTCATACTCAACTGTTGACTTGATAAATATGAAGGAGAATTTGTGATATATTCTGTAAAATTTTTGTGTTTACCATTTTGTTTTTTAGGGCTGCTCTTGAAGAAAATCCTTATTTCCGATTGAAGAAAGTAGTGAAATGGTACTTGTCAGGATTCTATAAAAAGCCAAAGGTAATATTTGTATTTTACTTTCTTTAGCCTTATATGAGTTCTTTAGTTTTTGTTATTAGATTATTTATTAATAATTGCTTTGCAGGGTCTTTTTGAGTTAGCAAAATTGCAAAATACTTGATCATTTAGACCTGTATTATGATTAAAGTCATTTAACTTTATTCATTTCACTACTATGAAATTTTGTAAGGATAAGCTCCCAGATGATACAGCTAAACTCATCTTGACTGGTTTGAACTATTTTGAATCTTCCATATTTGTAATTTGAAATTTGTATGTTTTTTACTAGGGACTGAAGAAACCTTATAATCCTATACTTGGTGAGACTTTCCGTTGTTTGTGGATTCATCCCAGAACAAACAGCAAAACTTTTTATATTGCTGAACAGGTATTAGAAATGTGTGTTACTGAAACAAAACTGAATTAGAAGTTACTGGGATATTTTCATAGAAAACATTAACTCAGTAAACTTACTGTTGATTAACCTTTATTTGTGAACATTTAATAAGCATTTTACCTTTTAGTACTGAGTACTACTAAATACATACTCATAAATCATACTGTTACAGTCATGGAATCTTGTGACCGTGTGTCCCACCCCACTCCCCCCCCCACACACACACACACCTTTTTTGCCATAATTCTTCAGTGTTTCCCCAGTTACTAAATCAAATTTACATCTATTGGGTTGTCGGAAAAGTCATGACATATTTTTTCTCTGTTTTCGTTGCAAAAATGTGTTACGACTTTTCCGACAACCCAATATTTATCTGGCATCCAAGGTTTTCCATATCTTTTAAATTTACCTCAAATTACATGTCTTTCTGAGCCCTCCACAATAGTTACACCTATGCATTCACAGTTAGGTGACCTGATACTTTTTTGCCTTAGTATGTTTACATTTAATTCTCCCACCCCAGTATTTCTTCTTAGCCATTCTTCATTTAAACAAAACCTGACCTCTTCTTTCATGGTCCAGATGACTGCAGCTCCTAGTGACTTTTCATCTCAAACTTCTGTATTATTTTTTTGTGATTACCTATTAAGCTATTCTTTTAACACTTGTATTAACTTTTTATAGAACACTTATTTCCCTAATTGAATTGTTAGCCCTTTGAAGGTATACCCTCCCCATAATACATCTTTTTATTGCACATGGTAGGCAGTCATAAAATATTTCTTAGTTTTAATGTTTCATTAATTTAAACTTATATACACCTATATTCACAGTTGTCACTCTTCTCCCACCCTTGTCCTAACAAGCCTGAAGCATATGACATGAAGCATATGTTATCTCTCAATAACAGTGGATCCTTATTATAATAATTCTCACTTGGAGTGTAAAGAGGATGAGGAGACCATGTGGCATTTGAAAAACCTTCCTCTTCCCTAGAGATTTTAATATTCTCCTCAGATTGAAACCAAGTATTTGTATTAATTTTTTCAATTAATAATTGTAACACCTTGCATTTTAGTTCGTTATAATTCTTCACTAAATTGAGACTAAATTGAGAAGAGTGTAATTTTAGCTTTATGTCATTTCAGAAAACACAAGATGTATTTATATTTAAAATGTTAGATTATTAAAATAACATATTTATCAAAGCTTTTGTTAGTTTCCTACAGCCTATTCAGTAATCTATTTGAAGACTAGCCACTGTGTTAGTTATATTTATAACAAAGTACTGCCAAAACTGAATTGCTTAAAACAACATTTATTATCTGATACAATGAGTTTTGGGAATCTGGGGGCTCCTAGCTGGGTGGTTCTCTCTCAGGGCCTCTCATGAGGTTGTGGTCAAGATGTCTGTCAGCTTTGCAGTCCTCTGAAGGTTTAACTGAGCTGGAAGATTCTACTTCCAAGCTCATCACATGATTTTTGACAATAGGACATGAGCCTCTGCATAGGATTGTTCACAATGTGGAAGCTGGCTTCTTAGAGCTAATGATCTGGGGTGGGGCAGGAGGTGGAGAGAGAGATAGAGAGAG